CCCCCCCCCCCCCCCCCCCATATCATCATACAGACGCATGGGAAGGTGGAGTAATGTAATTTTATATCTTCTATATGCATCATGTGAGATCATTGCAAAAACTATGAAGAAATGAAAACAAAAAATGCTCTCTATTAACAATCAAAATCCTTCAACACTAGACCTTCGAACAGTAGAAGACGGTGATTTCTGGTTTCCCTGCCGTTCCATTTCCTCCAAAGAAAGAGTGGAGGAACAAGTTTGTAGAGGAAGAGACATAGGCAGTGCCAGCGGCCTTGTCGGAGAAATAGATGGTCTGGCTGCTGGTCTAGAAGGAGAGAAACTTAACCTGGGGGCTGGGTTAATGATCCCATTAAGGCTTGGAGACCTTGACATATGTTTTCCACTGATTGCTCCTGGATCTTGCAGTGGAAACCGACTGGTATACTTCATGTCTTGTATGATTTTGAGATGCTCCACAACCGTTCTCATGGTGGGCCTTTCTGATGGATCCTTCTGAAGACATCTTTGAGCGATATCAGCCACTGTCCTGGCAGCTTTGGCAGGGAAGCGACCTTTCAGCTGAGGGTCCATAATCAGTGACAATCTCGAATCATCAGCCAGGAATGGTCGGCTCCACTTAACTAAGTTCCTCTCTTCCTTGGGATGGCGGCTGTTAAGATTCTTCCTGCCCGTAAGCAATTCCAGTAGCACTATCCCAAAACTCCAAACATTGCTCTTGGGAGTGACTAACCTCCTTTCCAGGGTTTCTATTGAAAGGTTTGCCAGTGCCTGATAAACAAACAACATGGAATGTAATTACAGAGGGAATCAGCAAGATGGTTACCGAAAATCAAGAGAAAAGGGTCAAATGCACTGAAGTTTGAACTCAAACTCTAAGATCGAAACAATATCAAGTAAGCTGATAGTCTCATAGCAAACCACAGGAGTTCCACAGGCATGAAGACTAAATCATCTTATTAAGGTGTAGATTTGTTCTATATCAAGTTTCGGATCATATTCTTCAAAAATGTCATACAGCAGTCTAAATTCCACTAGTCATGCTATTACCATGGCTCCCCATACGACAATGCGTATTTGAATTTGGAATAAAAGAATATCAATACTAGCCAAGGGCACTTACACTCGAACCACTGGGAATATCGGCCTCCGGAATGGGGGTAATGCAACCATATCCCGAAAGCTTTGCACTAAAGTCTTTGTCAATCTGAATATTGGCAGTTGAAAATTCATGGAACATCGCCTGTAAATAAAAAATAAAGCAACCGGTGAACACACAAATGTGTCTCACACCAAGATCTTTCCATCCCAGATTTTCTTAATCTAAGGTGAAGAACACAAGATTGATAAATTGGTATATAAAATGGAGCTAGAATTCAATCTCATTTAGATGGAATAGTACCTGGAAAGGCCCTTCCTCATGTAAGAAAGTTAGACCTTGGGCAGCAGNAAGAACACAAGATTGATAAATTGGTATATAAAATGGAGCTAGAATTCAATCTCATTCATATGGAATAGTACCTGGAAAGGCCCTTCCTCATGTAAGAAAGTTAGACCTTGGGCAGCTGATAAAGCAACTTTCATTCTGGCATTCCAATCTACGGGTGGACCGTCTGATCTTCCATACAACAGTCGGTCTAAGCTTCCATGAAAAAGCCGCTCATAAACTAACATCCTTTGTTCTGACCCCTCACGTGCATGGAAACCAATCAATTTACAGAGGCAGGAATGTTGTAAAGATGCGAGTGTATTCACTTCGTTTATGAATTCCTTCAAACCCTGAAAGAACATATAAAAGTTGAGACTAGCTCTCTGTGTTTCCAAACATCTGGAAAACTAATACAGCAAAGGAAATCAAGTTGGCAGCTTGAATAACTTGAATCAAAATTGGCATTAGTACTCTACGATCGCCCAATTCAAAAAAAACAAACAATTAAAGATTACCTGCGTGGAAGGGTGAAGGCGAGTAACAGTGGCTTCAAGTTTTTTTGATCCAGAAGCATCATCCCCAAAGGAAGCTCTAAATATCACGGAAGAGAGACCTTCTGACATACACCGCTCAGGAGAGAAACTCTGGCAGGCAGCTGCAATTTCATCATATGAAAAGTTCCGGAGTATTCCCATATGAGGCAGTGTGGGAGGCAATGGCAGTGGTCCAGAGGTATTGAGAGGGCCACTTGCATTCCCAACTTTAAAACTTCCCATAGTCTTGAAAGCAACAACACTTTGAGGTGCTGGAAGGGGAAGTGGTTGAGGACTTGGCGACCGATGTTCCTTCATTGATCCCATCCTACTCCTGGGCTCTTCTTGTTCTTCACATTCAACTGATGTGAGAGGATCTTGTTCTGGTGCAATGAGGCTTGATGGAGCAGACAATGCTCGTGTCCTATTGTTGGTAACCTTATTATTTGGCTGAACAGGTTTCCCTCTGGTTCTAAAACTTGGAGGTGCAGACTGCAAAGCACGAGTGTGGACTTGTGGTTCGGGCAGTGTCGTAGGTGTATTGGTCGGATGGCTGACATGTTTGAAAGAAGCGGATTGCTCGTATTTCTTCTTACTCTTCAAAACTGTGAAACATCCCATCTTATCATCAATTATTTAAGCTGCAACCAGAGATCTTATATGTGCTGCCCAATAAAAAGACAAAGGAATTTATATCAGTAAACATAAACTTCAGATCCTAGCTAGGCCTCAATACCACAGCAATGCCTAATTCAGAAAGTAAAATGACTTTATGCCAGGAATTTTTATAAATCCTGGATAAGAGATCAGAAATAAATTCCACGTTCCCTTGGACATTCCATGGAATATGAACAACAAAAGTCAGTGTCTTAATCAGCTTTGGAAGCAAGAATGTGTTCACCAACACTTTCCACAGCTGGCATTTTAAAATTGTGCCATCATTCACATCGGTGGCCACTGAAAAGAATGGATTTGTTCCTCAAAATAGTGTAAAAAACANTGTGTTCACCAACACTTTCCACAGCTGGCATTTTAAAATTGTGCCATCATTCACATTGGTGGCCACTGAAAAGAATGGATTTGTACCTCAAAATAGTGTAAAAAAAAATTGAGCAATTCAATCCCTATGAAATATGTTAGAATCAGATCCGATCCTCGTCAGTTACATGAAAATTAAAAATAGTGTAAAAGCCCAAACTGGTTAGTTGAAAAATCATACAAACAAAACTGAATTTATAGCCGATTAAATGTTAGTAATGTACCAGACTGGAACTCATATCACAATTACCAATATATTTGTGAAGCATATCATAGAATCTGTGCACGCTGGTTCTGATTTCCCTAAGTGGCATGATAACAATTATATCCTCAAATATGTACAAAAACATGTATGTATGTTTGTATAAAAGTTATACGCCCATCTTCCCCTTCTTTTCCAGAATTACAAATAATTTAGAAACAAGAAACACATGCATCAGCATTTATATCAAGTAGACAAAAATCCAACCCAGATCCAAATTGAAACAAAAAAGTTACAACCACCAGAAGATAGTAATTTACTGAGCCAATTGATTTCGATAACAAACCATCAAACATGTTTAAATCTACGAAATTCATTAATGGGAATCCACATGAACACCAAATCAAATAACCCAGGAAAAAAAAACAGTAGAGATTCAGTCATATGTTTTCTACGCAAAACCCCAAATCCAAATTTACCAAAAAGTAGAAGAAATCATGAAAAGACAGATCTCAAGTAGACAGCAGTCTAACCTGAGAAACAATGGTTCTCATCAACTTCAACTCAAGTACTGATGCAGAGGTGTTTGTGATTACTGATTAGGCTTGGATCTGCCAATTTTCAAGCAATTAACAATTCACAGAAGTTGCGATGTTGCAATCTGTTTGACAAATTGTGAGGTTTGATTTTGATGAACAACAAAACCCTTGAAACAAGTCCAATGAATACAAATAAGGAAAGGGAAGAAGGATTTTTTGGGAGAGGAAAAGTGGGCAAAAGATGAGAGAGAGAGAGAGGGAGCTCTACAAAATGATGCCCAACCCAAGGAGCACTAGTCAAACCAAAAAAGCCCCAAAAGTATTTTTCCTATTAAGAAAAGATAGCATTAATGCTATCTCTATGCAACATAACTGGCATTCCCATGGTTTTTAGACATCTTTGCCCTCTACATTTTTCTGATACCAAAATACCCTTTTCTTTTTCTCTCTTTGTCTGAAATTACCTGGAAGACCCAATGTACCTTTCCTTTTTTTTAAGCAGTGAAATGCAAAAGATTAATATAATATCAAATTTGTGAACAAAAAACTACACATTTGAGCACAATTTATTGAATAGTAATGCTTTGGTATCATGCCAAAAAAATATTGAATTATAAATTTTAAATTAGATGTTGTGTAATCATTAATAGTAAAAATAATAAAAATATTTTATGTGTCATTTTGTAATTGGGTAAAAAGAGTATGGGACCCTTGTATATGCGTGGGTTGGTAGAGGGATATTTTGGACATTGCATGGAAAAAAAAAA